AGTTTTCTGARGATCTCGCTCATGGCATGGGCAGTTTGCTATAAATACTCCAAAATACCTTTACCATCTCTCAGCAATAGAATACCTTGTCCAGCCCTGGCTAGTTCATGTTATTTAAGAGAGGAGGGAAGAAAGTCCTGAACAACACGAAACTCACAACATAAAATGAAAAACAAAGGAAAACCCTTCCCTGACTCAGAACACAATCATAAATCCTAAGATTTTCCTATACTTACTGTTTCAATACAAGATGCTTTATATTAGGAGAAAGCTGAAGACTGATGAGAATAGGGAATGATTAGCATGGAGCTCTAGGAAATTCAGATTCAAAACATGACTTGCCTATTTGCTTCTGAAGCTGCACTGCAGAATAAATTTTAAATAGACACCTAACCTAATATTTTAGAATCCAAGCCCTGGTAAGCCTACCCTCTTTCCAAAGAGCTGTACAAATGTTTCGTCCCCCTTTCAGACACAGGGCAGCAGCCTGGSAGCAAGAGGGCAACCACGTAGCTGAACTCCCTCGCCGCTGGCTTGCACCCTGTCCCCAGGGGCAGAGGCTCTGCTACAGCAGCGGGACCAGCACCTTCCGAGCGAGCTTCTCAGGCTCAGGCCACACAGATTTCTGTGCAGTGGTAACAGAAATCCCATCAGTGCACTCTGCACCCCTGGGAGCAGTGATTTCCTGGGATTCTTCAGGGCAGAAGCTGCGGTGGCAGAATTGTAAACACCTGGGAAACRGCTAATCCTTTGGATCTTCAGTAAAAGCAACTGTGGGGAATAAAAGGGAGATAAAAACAAATGGTCTTTCTAAACAAACAAAAAATGCTACCTCAGAGAATCTACAGGCTCACTGAGAAATTTTGAGAAAAAAAAAAAAGAGAGAACAAGATGACTGCTAAAGAGGAGAACAAGAAAACAGCTAACGAGGTTCTTTTATAGGGGGTGGTCTAGGAACAGAGCTAAAAATCAGTCACCCCACTGGCAGTTATAAAGCACAAAATGACAGAGCTCATTATGGATAATAATATGTGTACTTAGACCATACAAGCAATGAGAGACTCCAGGTCACTTGCGATCCAAGGCAGACCTCTTCACGATTCAATATGCACCCAGCTTAAGTCAGCATCTATTAGATGTTCACCTGTTTAATGGTCAAAATGCTGCATGACTTGAATTCTAGAACTACACAACAAGYCCATTTTCTCAACTGCTTGTTCTCTCTTTATATCACAGTCCCTCGTGCCTTGTTTCCTTCAAAAGAAGAGCAAAAGAAAAAAAAAACACTATTCATATTCATGAGTTCAGTTTATAGAACCACCCATACATTAGAAAAAACTAACATCTCCAGTAATGATCATGCACACATGGGGCTTGAAGGTCCTGAATCAGTAACAATAACACCAGAACACAAATTTCCACATTCACTAACAAATCCATGGGTTTAACAAGGCTAACGCTGCACTGCAGAGGCTTCTGTCTGCACACCTGACAGGCYGGGCTTAGCAGTGACAGATGCTGCGCTTGCTTTGTGGTTCAGGGAAGGGCAGAAAAGAGGGGCTGGCTGTCACCACCTCCCAGGTGTGTCAGTGGGGCAGGTTCAGCACATCCTCACCTGGCAGCGCCCTCGAGCTACACCAGGCACACGGTGAAATCTCTGCAAGGGTAGGGATGTCTCACTCCTGGTTGTAAGCTGGAGGTTCTACCCTCATGCACAAACTAGGGTGTAAGTCCAGCTTGCCTTCTGCAAGGATGATGTCAAATGCAAAACGTAATCTAGTGGAAAAACATACAGACACCATTTGATTCTCTGTGCGTGCTGAATCTCTCTTTTCCTGGAGGCAGAGAGCWGAAACGCCTTCTCCTCTACTAGGTGACCCTGCAATAGCAGCAAATCCAGGATGGAAGGCTGCTCCTGCCAAAAGRGCAGGTTTGGCCACACGGACGAGCTTGTCCGGGCAGCCTGACACGGCTGTGATCTGACCTTGTTTGCACATCCACGGGGCTGTGCTTGCCCCGTCCCTTTCCTCCCGCCTTCACAGCACTATGGCCACAAGCTCCCTATTACGAGCCTTGTTCTGGCTGCGGAGGAGGGAGGAAATGGCACACAAGAGAAAATACAGTGTGTCTAATTTTAGCTCTCCTCTGCTTCTAATGGCCTGACTTCAAAGGCAGCAGAAACACTACGTACTAAGTCTGCTCCCATTAAAGCCAGTGAGAGCTTTCCCATCAACTTTAATAGGTGCAAGGTCTCACGTTAGGAAAAGCCTATGTCACTGGATTCAGATAATGTACTTAGCACACAGACTTGTGGCAAAGTGGCTGTTTTAAACAGAGCTGTAGATGTATACAGAAACCTACTCAATGCTATTTGGCAGGGTTGCAAGAAAAATGAAAAGATAGCAGACCAACAGGAAAAGAAAGGTGAAGGACAAGGAGGTAACTGCATATGACTTGTTGTGGACGGGATCGTCACTCACTGTGCACCTCCATTTGGCCCAGCTGCTTTGCTCCGGGAGARGAGCCATTGGAGAAGAGAAGAGCCATTCATTCTCCCATGAAATGGGAGAAGAGCTGCGTAGGTGACGCTTTCCTGCAACCAGGYAGCCCTTCCTGTGCCTGTGCAGGGTCCCGAGGACACGGACCAAGCTGCCATGTCCCTGYGAGCGGAGGGACAAGGCCAGAAGCACCTCTTCTTGCCCAAGCTTGTACCCCGCCACGTAAGGTGGGAGCTGCCCCACTGCAACCCACAAAGAATCTCCATAGCCTTCGCCTGCAGCGCCTGAGGCTGAGGCCCAGGGGACAGAAACCAAGCTTAACCAAGCCAACAACTAATGAGAATCAAACGACTCGCTAAGATACGAAGGATGATCGTCACCATTCTGACAAGCAACATGACTTTTAGTACTAAGCATCTTTTCAGCTGTAAGAGGAAACTTGAAAATAATTAAGTATAACCTGAAGTAAGAGTAAAGTTAAGATACTTTATAAAGTTAAGATACTTAAAGACTGGATGGAGCCCTCAGCCCTTAAAGCTGAATGGGGCCCTCAAACCAACCAGAACAATACAGGGACAGAAGGGAAAGGAAACAGAACTGACATGCTAAGCATTATTTGAAAAGTGAATTTAAAAAAAAAAAAAAAGACCCACAAGATTTGCTACTGCCAGTGTCTGCCAGACACTAAGGTGCCTTAGTCAATTCACCCACGACTGCTTTTTTGCATTTGAAGTGCTGTTAACCTTGCCTCTCTAAAACRGGTACGCACTGCACAAACAGAAGAGACACCGTGGTTTGCTCAGGATCCAAGGCAACAGGAATATAAAGATTTGTTAATAAGACAAATAAGACAAATGTAAATGATTTAAGTTGCGCTTAAATGAAAATCAATTCCACTTTACYCAATTCCTCTTCCTCATCTCCTAAAGCTAGTCCCTTCACATCCATGATGACTTTGTGGCCAAGGCCATCTACTGGTGAATGGGATGTGTGGAGCTACAGGGCTTTGGTTGCTCCGATTCACCTTGTGCTGGTCAGGATTCGCAGACACGTGCAGCGATACTGCGTGTCAAGCAGCTGATTAGTCTGAAGCAATGTCTAGTTAATAAGTACGATCACAGTTTGGGAAAAGGAGGACATAACTAAAGCATTCCTCAATACCACAAGAACCTCAAAGAGATGTGGTTTCATGCAGGGGTGAACAAAACGGACATGGCATCTTTAATCCCTGCATGCCCAGTCTGGGTCTACTCATCTTGACACCTGACTGCTCAGTGCAAAATGAATCCAACCTGTCAGCTCTGCAACTAAAGATGCAGATTATATCTCAAAAATCACTACCAAAACAAGTAACCCTGTCTTCAAGAGGTATTAGGGCTTGTGTGATGAACTTTACAGGCTAAAGCAGCAAATATTTTAGAATGATATGTGCATCCTCAGTGGCAATACATCTATTTTTTATATATTTTATATACATATATACACATATATATATAAATTAGTACGCTCAGCATATGAGCCTGGATTACACTTTTGCAGGAAGGAAGCATAGGAGAATCCCACACAGATTGGTTTGTATACTTCTCAGAGCACCCACTACTTATTCCTAAATCATGGAAGAGGTATCTAATAAAACACTGCCCTTACACCATGTTTTCTTTTCCTTTTTTTTTTTTTTTTTTTTTTAAATATGGTAACACTTAATAATGATGATCTTTAGTGAAAGGTGTTAGAATGATGGCATTGGAAATCACTTCTAATTCCAGCACAATAGTCTCCTCCATCTTAGTCTGGGAGATGTAGGTGATCTGCTAAGATAAAGATAAAAACAATTGTTCTGTCCTTTCTACCTGAGAATTTGGAATARTCTTTACAACTTGCAGAAGTTTATTCACTATGAGCTAGGTTGAAGACACCACATCACTTCTTTAGACTGGCTATGTAGAAAACAGAAGCTTCTGTTCTATATCAACAATGGACATGAAAGGAAAATGTCTGTTTTCACTACGCTTAGTAAACCCGGTCTCTTTTATATATATTTATGATACATTTATGGTGTGGGTAGTTTTGCACTTGATGAAGACTYATAGTCTCTAGGATATATTTAAGGAAGCTTAGAAGAAAAAAAACAAACAAAACAAACTCACCTTTGAGAAGTAAGATAGTACATAAAAATACTTACGTATATACGTACCTAAGATAGCACATATAAATTTCTGAATGATATCTTACCAAGATATCTTGATGATATTTTTGATATCTTCAAGAAAACTGTATTATTATCAACTTAAGAGTATGGTTCATATCAACTCACCATTTTACAGTGATCAAAATCAGGCTATTATTAAAAATCAATTTATTATTATAATTTACTAACCAATAACTTGATTAGTAATCAAGCTATTATTTATTATCAATTGATATTAATATCAGTAATATCAATTATAACCACTAGTAGGCTTGCACTGTTTACTGAAGCGTCTGCTGGACCTTCACTTCAAAAACAGAGCACTCACTATGAACAGGACAATCCCTTATGTCATGACCGTCCTTTTTGACATATCCAGTCAAATACAAGTAATTCAAGCTAAGTGTTAAGAGTTACTAACATGCATAGACAGGTAACTTGATWTAATGTGAAGGCAGACACTCTCGAATATAACGAGGGCTCTTTTTGATAACACACATTCTAAAATTACTTCTTTTAGACATGCATCTGCACATGCCAATAGCATTCTGCTTATTCCTGCTGAGACTGCACTACAAACAAGGCTGAAGGTTGCAGCCTCCTGCAGCACCTCATTCTGTGGCAAGCTGGACAAGTGGCAAACTAGTGCCCTCAGTTATGAAATGGCCCACAAAACCCCACACATACTTCGGTATGTCTCAAACTCCTCCAATCTGATCAGGTACAGAGTGACAATATGCAATTTTAAATAGAGAATTTTTGTATTTTCTCCCCTCAGCATAAGGCTCTTTGTCCACTGGCTAGATCATTGCTAGATCTATTAACCTTAAGAGCTAACCTTGTGAACAAAACACCTGCAACTGTTTCACCACAACTTGACAGAATAACACCACTGAGAAGGTTTAAACAGTCTTATCATTAAATTACCTAATCAAAGGGGCTGAACTATGGGAAATTTAACTGGTACTCTCCAACTGCAGCTCCTGTAAGCCATATTAATTACACTTCTTTTACATTTTCAAAACGCCGTACAAATCTATTCAACATGCCTGGGTCAGAAGTTTTAGCTTTATCTTTAAAGCAAAGATGAGGACACAGAACTATTATCATGAACTGCTGAACTGCACCTAATAATCTCAAACAACTTAGAGCATGGACTTAGCTGTTCCAAAGACAGCAACATCTGATTTTAATGATTCACTTACTTCTCTGAGAAGCAGAGAGGACTTGACTGTAATGTGGTCAGTCCCCTTTTTAATTCACTGTTTAGGTTAATTTCTCTCCTTAAGCCTCTAAATTTGAAATTGCCTGCACAGTACTTAATTGGAGGGAGTATATTGCTCATATTACTTAAAGAAAAAAAAAGAATGCTTATAAGTTAAAAAAAAAAATCTTGGATCCATTTTCCCTGGGCAACACCAGAAATTTGGTACGGGACAGACTGGAATGAGAGGGGGAAAAAAAAAGATAATGGCTCTAAGTTTCTTATCTCAAACACACATTCAAAAGCAAGATTACCTGAAAAGGTACTGTTGATGTCTGGCAATCTAAGAAGTCCATCTATCTCTATTATCTCAAATATTATTCAGTTAAATACTGTACATTCCCTAGAGAGAGAAAAAAAGAAACATGAAAATAACTCAAGAGGGCTACCAGCCATGAAAATGTTGTGCATCTCCAAGCAGCATCACTTTGTGTGCTGCACAAATAGCCTGGATGCGCGCTAGTACCAATTAAATTTTGGATTAGCCTGCTCCAAGGAAAAGGTTTCGTTGTAATTCTTCAGTATAGTGTAAATTTCAGAAACAATTCTAGGAAACAAATATACAAAATCCATCCTTCTTTGGGGCAAGACAGGATGAAAGACAAAAGAGACCAAAAAATGCCTGATGTCACAACATTTATAGTGGTACACAGAGACACTGCAGAAGACATTTATTCCAATAGYTTTGGATGTTCAATCCGTGTAATAGTCCAGTCTGGTTTTGCTCCTTCTGTAAATTCTCTTTGAAACCTGGAAAAGGCAGCACAAATAAGTGACATGTTATTAAAATCCGCTTGGTCCTTAAAAAGCTACTAACATCAACAAGAAAACATGAAGAAACATTTCACTTGTCCTTTCATTGGTCCTTATTCCTGTAAGAGCTCATTAAGTTCTGATGCTTATGGACCAAAAGGGAAAATCAAAGTGACTCCTACTGCAAGAAACAGCCCAGTGAATTTACGAGGAGTCTTTACTCTGATTTCAAAGCATTTTGGCTCAGATTCCACAGAAGGGATCACGCAGCAAGTGTGAAGATCTTGCTATCAACACAGTACCAACTTGTCCTAACAATAGCCATGAATATAGGAATACAACTTTGTGGCAAAATAATCCTAAATTTTAATCCTAAAGAAAAGTTTTCACTTTAATTAGACGGTAACTGTGTTGCAAGTGAATATGCCACATGCTACACTCTGATTTTTTTACTGAATTGTATTTTAAATACTTAGAAGTACTATATTTTCAGAAATAAGACAAATCAAGCTAGTACTAAAATAGTACAAGAAGCACTAAATTTGTCTAAATTTAGATTCCATAGTTGCCAGTGGGAAAATGAAAACACAAACTCTATTTTCAAAGAGCCCTTCCCCTTCCTTTTCTAGTCATCATTACCTTCCTCCCTGACCTTGCCAGTTTGGGCTGATTGTCACTTAAAAGTCAGTCTGAATTGAAGCTCAGTTGTGGAGAAGCGCAGCGTGATCTCATTGCTTTGCTGTTACGCATCAGTTTACTTCTGGAAACTGCCTTCCCCAGACATCCGGACACAACAGTAACATTCAGCTTCCAAAGTCTCTCATATCATTGCCCCTTTGAGTCTAGGTGAGCRCTGTCAATAGCAGAAGGAATGCTTGCTTGCCAAGATAACTCTCTGCTAGGCATCAGAAATTCATTTTAGTGCCTCAAGCGCACTTCTTGAGGTTGATGGGAGTGTGAGAAGCCTCCAGCACTGAGGAAAATGCTGAATATGGTTAAGGGACGGACCCAGGAAAATCCATCCGTGAGAAAAAAACCTTTTGTGTCCTCAGACTGCCTCTTTTACTCTGGGGCTCCACGGCACATAGGCCCAGAGATTCTCCAGCTCAAATATGGGTTTAGAAGTCACTGATCAAATTGTATTTCTGAGATAAGACTCCTCATTTTTCCCAACTTCTGAGAATGTCTTTTTCAACACACTTTGCCAGCTGTGCAGACATTTTTTCATTGCTGACACAGTAAACCATTAATAGACATTATTTGGAAATTCATCTACCTGACTAATGTGTGCTTCAAGAGCTGACACCACAGCGGCACGAATTATCCGAATACTGGATAATGTTTGTCTTTTATTCTTCAGCAGAAAGCATTTGGCTGCATATTTTACTCTTTTACAGACCACATTCTCGAGCTAATTGCAGTACTGACTTTTGTGCAAGAAGTGACAAGTCAAGACCACCGCGCTTAACTGCCTGGCTTGACTGCGTTGCTCTCAGCTGCTGCAAGAAACAGGAACCAGGGACTGACACTGGCCTCTTCCCTGAAAGTTGCAGGAGCAGCACAGGAAAGAATCAGAAATCCTATTAAATGTTCCAAGTATTGTCCTTCCTAATGGAGGAAGAGTTCTCATTATGAATCAGTTATCAGTTCTGAATCTCAAATTCAGAAATGAGGTAACAGCATGATGACGTTAAAGGTTATTTAAAAAAACTGCCCCTAGAATAAAAACTGGAAAGCTGGACAAGAGCCTAGATTAGAGGCAAGGTAAAACAAAACACACCATGCTCTACTCAGAACGCTTCCACTTCYCAAACTAGTCTCCACAGAGTTACACTATCTATATGCCTATATATAGTTTATGGCAAAGAAAAGGACAGGGAAACGTACTCATAGTTTGCTGTTAAAAGATGTTTTTTTTCTTTTGTATTTTCATCTCCAAACATAATCTGGAAAACTTTGGCTTCACCTGGTACCTCATCCGGTAAATTAGCACCATTCAGATACCAAAATCGCATCAGTATCCTAACAAACTTTCTTCCTGTTAGAAATAAAACAAAAGCAAAGTTAGATCTCTTGAGTAATACACATTTGCAGTCGGCCAAATACTCCTAATTACAATATCACATATGTTCTCCTGAGACCCAGAAAGGGCAACTACCTTAAGCCAAAAGGAATGCATGATAGAACAATGAACARTAAGACCGAAATAAAACTACCATGTTCATGCTGTTCAGCAACAATAAAATTGCTTGCAGCAGAAAGGTATGTAATACATGATGAGTTTTGCCTGATATAGTATGAAGTCAAGTTACACGGTTACTACAGGTTCCAAAGGCAACTGTTGATGCTCCATATACTTTTGTAGTAGAGGAGCTGAAACTCAGGAGCTTGAGAGAAAAAAAAAAAATCTTCCCCCACCTTCAGTTCCATAACAGGAAAAAAAAATAAAAAATAAAAAATAAAAAATAAAAAAATAAAAAATAAAAAATAAAAAATAAAAAATAAAAAATAAAAAATAAAAAATAAAAAATAAAAAATAAAAAATAAAAAATAAAAAATAAATCAGTTTGAGAACTTGAAATCCTCACTGGAATACCCATGCTTTTACTTAATTGGACTATGAACCACCTCAAGGGTGTTTGACAAAGAACCAAGTGCATAATGCTGGCATTTAAACAAAATAAAAACTTTTTGGAGCTCATCGTTAGTTTAATAACAGAGATGTCCTAGAACAGCTTTTTGTTTCCATGAAAGCAGGGTATAAGGGAAAATCAACAGAATTCATTTCATTATCCAGTCCTTATTATTCTTCTTGCAAGATGTATTTTCATGGTTCAAATAGACAGCTTTCTGTATAGACTGTAATTGTTTTTGTAAAGTTAAAATAATTTTAACATAATAATTAAACAAAAATATTGAAATAATAAAAAATAAAGTATAATTGGAGTTTCTGAGTGGTTTGAAATGAATTAGGATAAATAACGTAACAATATGATATCAGATAAGAGGAAGAACGAGCAAAACTTAAACAGAAGTCCAAATAATACCACAACTCATTAACCATAATGGCTCTCAGGCTCTGGTGTAAAAGGAAGCCAGGGAAGGAACAAGGAACAAGAAATAGAATTCAAAGAGACCTCTGTAAGGAGAACATCTGCTTGGGGCAAAGCTGATTGCCCCCTGAAACGTTTTACAAGTCTAAACATACCGTCGTCATCATAGTAAATCCGAACGTCTCCCTCTGTGGTGTACATGATTTCGTCCAAGTCAGCTGCTAAGGCGTCCCTGTGGCTGTCGGGAAGCAGTGAAATCTTTTCCTTCAAAACTTTAAGGGCCTAAATTTAGAAAAACTGTAGCTTAGTTTTTCAGCAGAACATTGGAGCAATAGTTTTTACCACTATTAATAGAGGGAGAGCTCTATCGCATGACATTTAAATATACAACAAAGGCGTTGAAAAAGCAGTCGTGCACCCCCAATCCCAAATTCACTTCTATTAAACAAAGTCTGTTTAATGAACAGAAAATTAAAAAGTTACTATCAAAACATAACCTGGAAAGGAAAGCATGTAAGTCTAAAAAAAWATCAAGTTTGCTTCTGCAATCATACTCACACTCTACCTTCTCACTGCTGTGCTCTATCCATACTTTAGCTTTTGATTGAATTATTCCTTATCTTTCTTAAGTTTCTTTGAAAAGAAATTGTACTACCTCTGCACTTAAATTTGTTATTCAGGGATCCACATTCCCATTAGAAATGGCTTTAGAAACTTGCAAACCAGAAAAGACTGAAAAATCATTGCTTTCAAAGTGAAGTTTCATGGGACATTCATAGACTTAGCATAGGATTGTCCTAAGGATCTATACAACTGTTACAATGGGCAATTTAAAAAGTAAAATGGATAGTTTATGAATTGAACATAACCTCAACCACCACATGACAACACAGGTCTCAAGGAATGATGAAGCTGTTCAGTGTTTATTTTTAACTTATACTTAGCTCTTAGCCAGCTTAAGTTGCCATTTTTGAATAATAAAGAAATTCAGAGGTCATATGGAAGCAAAAGAAGCAATCTTCACTAGAAGTCATTGTATTTACGAGAAAGAAGGATAAAATTGGGGAGCTGGGGGGAAAGAGCAGCTCTGATATCACAGCCTCAGTCAGCACATGTCCTGGCTACATGGGGTTTTATATTGGCCTTCACCACCCCGAGAATGTAAGATGAGCAGAGAAAGAGCAGGTGCTCTTTCAAAATAACTCCAAGAAACAAACTCACATTTTATGGCTATCTCTGCTCAGCGAGAGGAGACAAGATTGTCCAGTGGGAATGCACTAGAACAGCACCAAAATTTTTGCTTCAAAGGCAGGGGTGCCAATAGAGGGGGTGAAGCTGACATCCAGTAACATGTTGGGCAGACTCAAAGCTGGAGCAGCTCTTTAGCTTGGCTCTGCTCCATTTGCTCTCYCCATCCCCTGGGAAAGCCAGGACAACTTCAGCATTTAAAATTTCATWAAAAAAAAAGGCAAAACACACAGCACTGATGTTTAACTAGCCAGGTCAGTAACATCCCTGAGATCATGACATAAGCTTGAGGCCTCCCACACGAGGCCAACACTTGGCTGTATGAATTGCTGGGGGCTGGACACCTGTAGGGACAGCAAGGATGAACAACAATAGCCTGATCGCGGTGCACCCCGTAAGACATTCAGCTATACGATCCTCTAGCAATGGAGGCATGCGACTCCCCTCTCCCTCCAAAACCCACAAACTTCTAATGCTTTCCAATACACTTATCTTTTTGGAATTTGGTCCCTATGTTCAATAGGGGGGGAAAAAAAGTTATTTTTTCCTATACCTTGAAGTTAAACATAAAGAGTTGCAAGATGTATGGTCTTTTGTAACTGAGAATCTATTAGCAGAATATGAGATGGGAAATATTTACCTCCTCTGACACAAGTTCTTCCAGCAGGTCAAGTTTACGCTGAGACAGCAGCTTAGAAACAAGAGAGAAGGCCTGCAAAAAAAAAAAAAAAAACCAACACATGAGCAGCTAAGCTGGATTTGCAGTTTATGTCATCATTCAAATGCGACTCCCTGCATTAAAWAAAAAGGTTTATTTGCTATTAATGAAATTAATTTGAAAGGTATAAAAAGTTCAGGTTCAAAGAAGAAAATATATTGAAAATGGAGAAATAAATGCAAAATTTACTTCAGAAAATATAATAATCTATACTGCTTGGATTTACTCACTCTTAATTGAAACTATCTACAACTTTCTCTGTAAATAGCTTCTTCTCTTGCCTCTTTTCCCAACCCATCTCCCAGTTTAAGTCAAAAGAGAAGTCCAGGCTAATAGCAAAACCCTCTGTGTCTAGGTTAGTCTCTAAATCTCAGGAAATTGGAGCACTCTGCCATCCATTTTGTAGATACAACTACATATGATTATGCCGCTACATATTCAGGTAGTGCACTAGTAAAATACCGTGAGCATGTTCAGGTTTACAATAAAAGCCAAATAAATAAATTACAACAAAAAGAGGTAAGGAAGCACACGAGTAACCGGGGGCAGTTCTGTCTCTCCGTGAGGCCTTTCCCCCCAGCCTTTCTTCGCGGGGCAAGGGGGCGGCCTGAGGGCCCGTTTTCACCTCGGGCCTGGGAAGGCCCCGCACGCAAGGCCGGCGCTCAGGCCCGCGCGGCCCGTCCCGCGGCCTCACCTGCTTGGCGCCGCGCGTGAACTCCTCCACGCTGAAGTCCGGGTCGAAGTAGAGGCGGATGAGGAGGTAGCAGACGCGGGTGCGCAGCCAGAGCGCGGGGCTCGTGATGCGAACCACCACCACCTTGCGCTGCGGCGGCGGCGGCGGCGGCGGCCCGCGGCCCTGCCCGCC